CAAATTATCATATCGAAGTTAGAAATTCAAATATTGTGACAAAATTAATTTTGTAGGGTGCCACAATTTTGTTAAAATTTCCAAAGGGTGCCGCGACTAAAGAAAGGTTGGGAAACACTGCCCTAAGTCACTTAATATTAACTACTCGTTTGAAGTCTTGTTTAAAATCAATGTCGAATTTACAATCGTACTGATTTTCGGGGAAAACTGCACTCTCTTAGTCGTGTCATGTTAATTAATTAGGCTAGGCTTTATGCAATAAATATAAAAACTACATTTTTTACCGCAGTATGTTTCTTCTGTGTGCAGTTGTGTTCATTTGTTTCGATTTCTCCATGAGATTGTCTCACGTGAGTCTCAACTGCCGCGACCTTGTTACTATTGATTATCCATTATGAATTGCCGTTTACACCAAGTGTAATAAAATCAGAATCATTCTTGCCGAAATTTTGGTGCTTCCCTAATTCGATGTTTTAATTAGATTACATTAGGTGTCCAGTCGAGCAAGTAAAATTCACTTGCCCCTTCAAAAAATGCACACAGATCATCAAAAGCATTCTCTTGCGCACCCCTGCTGGTCGGTCTGTGCACCCCTAGGGGTGCGCACACCCCAGTTTGGGAACCGCTGATCTAGACTAATGTGAACTATGAACATTATGTTAACTAAACATTAACAAAAGATACTGCAACTGATGTATTGCTCATTGTTAGTTAATGGTAGATAATGCATTAATTAACATTAACTACTGAAACCTTACTGTAAAGTGTTACCAAAAAATTAAGCATGACTCTTTTGCTAATGTGTACATAGATTGGTTGACATACAGCCCTGGTGTATCAGAAAGTCTTTAGGACCAGGACTGTGAAACACTAAACAATTATTTCAAAAGTACTCATATTATTGATATGCGCTCTAAGGGTGACGTATCCTCCACACACAAACAAGTTGTGCTCTTCACCAGTTTTTTCAATTGATGAAGGAAGGAGGACCGCCATGGCTGCTGTCCTCTCCTCTTCACTCAATGGAAGAGGGCAGTTATAAAGACTTGATTTGTGATCTACTGTCAGACAATCTTTGCCATATTTTTTATTCACTGTGTAATTTCGTACAAAGTATGATTTTGTTCAAACAATGAATTTTCAGCATGGGGAATCAAATGACTGATGAGCCTGCGGTGGGCCTGCCTTGGCGGAGGGTGTCTTGTGGTAAACAGCCAAAACACCCAATGAAGCCAATGTGCACAACTGAAGATGTGTCGTATAGGAGGAAACATCACTAAGTGGTCACCAATGAAACCCCCCAACCAAGTTGATGCTTCAAAACCCACCCAAGACAAGTACCGGACTGAATCATTTGGGATTGCAACATTTAGTCCTATTACGCAAGTTAAGTTCAATGTGAATATATTGTAAAATTTATTCCTGTGCTCAAAAGCTACATTTTCAGCTTCAATATTCCAGTCTTAAGTGTCACATAATTAGTGTTTTTCACACTTCCGGTTACAAAATGGTCGAGTCCAAGAATAAGTGTTGCTGTAGCGTCCCCCAGTGCAGCAATTCTAAGCAAAACAATATTTTATATATTTAAGTTTTCTCGGTTTTCGTTTAAATTACCAAAAAAAACAAAAAAATGGGATGAAGAGTCTACATTCATGATTCGGAGAGGGAGCACATATGTCGGAACTTCCAGGAAGTTTGCAGCTAAATGTTGGTGCCATTCCAAGTCGTTTCCCATTGAACAATTTCTGTGTGACCATAACAACATAATATAAAAAAAAAAATTCTTTACATTTTTGAAAATCATGGATTTCTTGTTGTCCGAATTAGTCAGTGTTCATTCTGTTACCAAGGTAGAGTGACAGTGTTGACAGTATGTAACAGAATTGACATTCATACAGTGCTCGAATTGAATTAAGTCTTATAGGGGGTCCCTACCATAAGACATTTTCATAGACACTATAGACAAATAATCTTGAGTGTTGTCTTAGCTGGGCTAGAACCCTCATCTCCTGGACACAGAGCTGGCGCTCT